AGATTTCTAAGGCAATCATCAAAAGAATTTCCCACCACTGAGAAATCATCCATGAAAACCTCCATTATATCCTCTACCATATCTATGAAGATGGCCATCATGCACCTTTGGAATGTGGCGGGTGCATTGCATAGGCCAAACGACATTCTTCGAAAAACGTAAATGCCATATGGACAGGTGAATGACATTTTCTCTCTATCCTCCGGGGCAATAGATATCTGATTGTACCCCGAGTATCCATCCAAGAAGCAAAAATGGGACCTCCCTGCCAATCTATCTAGCATCTGATCAATGAACGGCAAGGGAAAATGATCTTTTCGGGTGGCCTTGTTCAATCTTCTATAGTCCATGCAAATTCACCATCCCGTAACTATTCTTGTTGAGATCAACTCATTGTTCTCGTTTTGCACAGTAGTCATCCCACCTTTCTTTGGCACACATTGAACTGGGTCTAACCCAGTTGCCATCTGAGATGGGAAAAATAATTCTCGCATCTAACCACTTGATCACTTCATTCTTTACAACTTCCTTCATGTTAGGGTTTAGCCTTCTTTGATATTCTCTGGAAGGTTTGTGCTCATCTTCCAGTAGAATTTTATGCATACAGAAGGCCGGGCTGATACCTTTAATGTCCGCAATGGTCCAACTAATTGCAGTCTTGCACTCTTTCAACACCTGCAAAAGTTGTTCTACCTGCACATCTAACAAACCAGATGAGATAATAACAGGTAAAGTCGAGTTAGGTCCCAAGAAAGCATACCTGAGGTGAGGTGACAGTGGTTTCAGCTCCAATTGTGGTGGCGCTTCGATCGATGACTTGGCTGGAGGCTTTCTTTCTTCCGAGTGTAAAGGCTCGAATTCAGGCTCTCTTCCAGTACCTTTGCCCTTAAAGAGCCAACACTTATTCCGCCAAGTCCTCAGTCCTCACCATTTACTTCTTCTAAGTTTATAAGGCAGACTGTTAGGGAGTCTTTTGCATTAAGTGCCTCATCATCTTCCTCCATGATTACATCCACCGTGTCTAACAAAGAGCAATTTGCGAACTCACTGGGTCGCCGCATAGACTTTTGCACATTAAATGTTATTTCTTCATTGTTCAACCTCATTTTCAGCTCCCCTGTTTCACAATCAATTAAAGCTCTTCCTGTTGCCAAGAACGGTCTTCCCAAAATTATGAGAATCTCCTCATCAACCTTGCAGTCCAGAATGACAAAATCTGCTGGAAACACGAATTTTCCAACTTGTACAAGTACATCGTCAAGTATACCTGATGGCCTTTTTACCGTTCGGTCAGCTAGCTGTAGTAACATGGATATGGGTCTTGCTCTTCCAATGCCTAACTTTTTATAGATAGACAATGGCATCAGATTTATACTTGCTCCCAAATCACACAATGCCTTGGCAAATGCATAACTACCTATGGTGCATGGAATTGTGAAGCTTCCAGGGTCGGATAACTTCTCAGTTATAGGTCTTGTCACAACAGCACTGCAGGTCTGTGTCAATGTGACAGTTGCCAAGTCTTGGAAGACGAACTTACGATACATCAAGTCCTTCATCATTTTTGCATAACCGGGCATCTCCCTCAGGGAATCGATTAGAGGAATGTTTACCTGAATTTGCTTCAGCATTTCCATGAATTTTTTGTACTGTTCATCCTTCTGATATTTGGCCAACCTCTGCGGGAAAGGTGCTGGATGTCACTTTTTTTCTGTGGCTTGAGTTAGATCCTGCTTAGGCACTTTTTCTAATGCCTTTTCTTGCACTTTCTCAATCTTCTCCGCAATCTCTTTTTCCTTGTTTATTTCCTCCTGGGCTGGCTGCACTCTTACTCTTGTTAGCTCAGTTGACTCATCTACCTCAATTGACACTGAAACAAGTGTTTCAGTCGATCGGCTCTCACGAGCGATTTCTTGCTCTAAATCAAGATCTCTACCATTTCTTAAACTCACCGCCATAAGCTGCTTCGGGACCTGCTCTTTTGGATTGACATGTGTGTCCGCAGGTAAAGTTCCTTGGGAGCGATTATTTAGAGCCATAAATATCTGCCCTAATTGAATCTCAATGCCTTTTATCGCTAATTCATGTGCTTCAACCTTCTCTTGCATTTTTCCATTGGATCCAATCAATTGTTGCAGCATTCCCTTAATTTCAGATAGCCCATCATCTTGTCTCACTATCTGTTGTTGAGGTTGTTGATAAGTTAGCTGCTGATTTTGCTGGTTGTATCCTTGTTGCCTTTAGTAAGGTACTACTTGACCCTGTGGTCGCATAGCTCCAGAATTGTTGGTGTTATTGTACTGTTGTTGTGCTGGTCTATACTGCTGATTTTGCTGCCCCCAATTCTAACAACCTAGCCTCTGGCCTCCATAGTTGCCCACATAGTTCATGTTCTCTTGATAGTTCTGGTTGTCACATTCATCACTCCACGATCACACATATGGTTGGTTAATGCATGGTGTACATAATCCCCCATTAGTCGTGTCAACTATGTGTACTTGCTTCTGGCCTGATTCATCAATCTTCTTGGCGAGGATACTCATTTGCGTCATCAGAGTGGCCATATTCTCGGCTATGGAATTGTTCGGGTCCAATGCTACTGAGTGAACTATAGGGGTGATTGTGGAGTCTTTTGTCATCCATCCCGAGTTTTGAGCCATTTTATCTAGCAGGACCTTACACTATCTAAATGACTTAGCTTAAAAATGCCCCACCTGCTGAAGCATCAACATTGGCCTTCAAGTTGTCTGCCAATCCCATGTAAAACCGTTGTCCCAACATCTGATCTGGAATACCATGATGTGGACACTTAACCATCATACCTTTGAATCTCTCCCACGTTTCTTGTAATGTTTCAGCTGGTTTCTGCCTGAAGCTCCATATCTCATCAACTTGCTTGGCAGTCTTATTGGGTGGGTAGAACTTATTCAAAAACTGCTTGACTAATTCCTCCCAAGTTGTGATGGAATTTATGGGGAGCGAATTAAGCCAAGTTTGGGCTTCTTCTGTCACTGAGAATGGAAACAACAACAGTCTTCCGGTGTCACATTTGGTTACCTTTGTGTGACACAAATTGACAGAAAATTTTCCAGATGCTGCTGTGGATCTTCAATGTAAGACCCGGAGAACAGTCTCTTGTTTTGCAGCAAATGTAGCATGTTATTTGTGATTTGAAATGACCCCGCTTGTATCCGAGGGACTGCAATTGCAGTTGCCAAATTTTCAGCGGTGGGTTGTGCCCAATCATACAAAGTTGCTTCTGGCACAAGAGGTGCCACACCCTGATTGTTCGGGTCATTCACATTGTTTCGATTGTTTTGATTATCCAAAGCGTCACCCATATCCTGTTCAATTTGTTCTCTTGGGTGATGTTGTTGTTTGTCCTTCTTGTTTGCACGATTTAATGCCTTGAAAGCTTTCTCAGGATCCGGTAACGCTTCAAACACTTCACCAGTTCTTGAGGAGTTTCTAGGCATACACCTATAACACACATGACCACAAACGTTAGAATTTCAATGTAATGAATAAAAATGGAGAAAATTGACTAAACTAAGAATCCTAGCAATTCTTATAGTTGTAACTAGTAACACTGTTGCCTCCCGGCAACGACGCCAAAATTTGATCACGCCCAACTATGCCTCCTAAGAGGTCTAGCGGTCGTTGCAAATATAATCCGGTTTACAAGTCCGGAGTCGAATCCCACAGGGAAATAACGTGCCAATTAAAAATGCAATAATTTGTAACTAACAAGGCAAATATTGTAGACAAGATTTGGTAAAGTCTAAGGTTATGATTTCCCCTATTGTCGGAATCTTCCCCGCTACGTTTCCTATAAATTTGCCTAAATATTCTCTACCAATCGTGAGTACTTTGATTGTCGTAGCTCTCTCTCGAGCAACTACCACAATTTGCTAGACGTATTCTCCCGAACTACGCTAGCTGGCACTAGTTTACCGCTCACTACGATCGCACCAAGACTTTGTTATCTCTAATCCCGCCTTTAAACCCTCCGTATCGATCTCTCAACTACGTTAGGAGTGGTGTTGTTCAACAACTACCTAAATGTGTACTCTCTCTCTCTCGCAATATACACACTAAATAGGCACAGTTAAGTGAGAGCTCTTCAATTAACAACAATGAAAATATAGTTGAACAAGTAGAGAAAAATCAAAGACAAATCTATATTAAACGCAGTAGAAAATCATCCTTCAATAGGTTCCATCAAACCTTAGATAAGAGAGTTTAGCTACTCATAAATACAACAACAATCAACATAATGTTTAAAGACATGAAACTACAAAGTAAAAAGATAAAGGAAGGAAAAACTCGTTTGATTCTTGCTCCACAGTGCTTGGCAGCCTTTTTCTTCTCTAAAGTCATGACCAACCCTAGAATAACTCGTTTGGGGAGTATTTATGTCAATCCACGGTCCAAATCCGGGTTGGGGTCTTTTTAATCCGCGACTTTTAATCACCGTGCTATAGACCTCGCGAAGCCTGGTCTATAGCGCGGTCGACCTGGCTATAGACCTCGCAAAGCCTGGTCTATAGCGCGGTCAACCTGGCTATAGACCTTGCAAAGCCTGGTCTGTAGCACGGTTTGGATACTTGATGCTTTTGTGCTCTTTTCTTGTATTTTTGTCCTCTTTTTGTGCAACTTTCGTTCGACGATTCCTTCTTATGTTCCCATGCATAAAACAACCCAATTTAGCTCAAATGTGTTACAATAACTCATTAGAACAACAAAATATAGGGTGAGTAATGTGCTAAAAGTATAGCATTTTGGCCTCACATCACTCATCCAAATATATTTCAACAGACCAGCCAAGTTGAATAAATAACTCAACTTTAGTTTCTCATCCAAATATATTTCAACGAACTAGCCAAGTTAACGCGTTTGTGGATTTCATTACAGATATGACCTTGAGCTGTGTATTCAATGACCAGTCAACTGAAAGTAATTTTTGGTACTGGTTGTGCTCTGCAGGATGCAAACAAAAGGCATCACCCACTGGACTTGAATACTCTAAAAGGTCATGGGGATATTGTCACTGGAGTTTGCTTCTCACCCAATGCACAGTCTTTGTCAACTGGTAATTTTGGTTTACGTATTTGTTTGTTTGAGCTCTAAGCCTCACAAAGCAAGTTGTATGATCGCTGTACTTCTACTAAGATGCACAACTCTCCATTTGCCTGTTTGTGGCCACAGTCAATCTGTCGAGATATGCATGTTGGAACCAGCTTTTTTCTTTTCATTTTCTTTTGAGAAATTCTCTTTTTTACAGGATTAAATGTCTTGATGGAACCCTTTTCAAAAGGACAGGCCTTGTAGGACACACTTCCCAATCATTGATATGCTAATCAAATAGTGCTCAATCTTTTTTTTTTTTCCTTCCAATTTTTGAGAATCGAGCCCTAAAGATTACTTAGAGCAACCTACTTATCATGTTGGGTTTTTATTTCGTTGTTGAATTTGGTCTAACCCACATGGTAGAATTATGCTTGCACCGATCAGACCTCATCCTGGATGTGGATGAGACTAGAAGAACTGATATGTGTCCCGTGAGCATGTTGTGCATGATTAAAAAAAAATTGATATTATAAAAACATTCATTTCTATTTAAAGTTATCTAAAGAAAGCTATTGTACTAGGATGATTGTTGGAAAAACCTTATACAACACCTGTGTTGCTTGGAAATGAGTTGTGCTTGAAAGTGAGAAAGATATAATTCATGTCAAAATCACTTTGGTTGCGTTACTGTTTCTACACTTGGTGCCATTTGCCGAAAATTGTAGGTTAAAGTTAGCACGAGGGGGTCTTGCTTTATTCTCTTCCTTTATGTCACATCCCCCTCTTGAAGCTATGAATTGAGTTTCTTTTATAAGGAAAACAATTTGTCACAAGAAGACTGTATTACAACACAGTGCAGAAAGAATTCAAGTTCCAAAAGAGTTAAAGTATGACCAGAGAACTTTAAGCAATTGATACAATCACTGAAAAATTGTATGATATAAATGCACGTTGGGTCAAAGCTAGATGTAGCATTTAGTTGCAAGCATTGTACCGCTCCAAAGAGCTTTACCTGCTGTAGATAAAAAGTTGTAATGGTGAGGACATGGATGAGCGGAACTTCTAACGGAGGAAAAAGTTAGACCTTTTCACAAAGTACAAGGGCAAGTCTAGACCGTTACCCTTAACAAAATATATTTTTCATCCACAAATTTCTTTAATTAAAGAAAACATGCTTTAAAATTGTAGGACATAATCACATTCTACATATCTTCCATCACTTGTTGTTCACATTCCATTTATATATTTTGGAAGGAGGATGGGGAAGATAGATGTCAATCTTCCATACTAATGGTTTCCTCTTGCAGCTTGTGGTGACGGGGTTGTTAGGGTCTTCAAGTTGGATGATGCTTCGAGCAAAAGCTTTAAGTATGGCTTTTACAGTCTTATTATTATTAGGACAGTAATCTGGTTATTATTAAGCTTCGAGTAAAAGCTTTAGTATTGTTAAGTGTGAATCTAAGTGCAAATTTCTAACTCTAATCTGTGGTGTATCTTATTCAGGTTTCTGAGAATTAATTTGCCTGCTGGAGGTCATCCAACTGCAGTTGCATTTGCTGATGAAGCTTCCTCAGTTGTAGTGGCATGCGATGCTTTTTCTGGTTCTTCCCTGTACATGTATGGTGAAGAGAAAACAGCAGCCACTGATTCCAAACAGGCCAAGCTTCCTCTTCCAGAAATCAAATGGGAACAGCATAAAGTTCACGACAAGAGAGCGATCCTAACTGTAGTTGGTACCAAAGCAACTTATGGTAGTGCTGATGGGAGCACAATCATTGTTTCATGTTCTGAAGGTAAAACTCGAGTTAAAACTCAATGGATATCCTGATTCTTAATTATAGTAAAAGCTTCATGGTTTCATATTTGTTGCTGGAGAATGCATGATTATGAGAATGCTGTCATGTATCATATTGATTTTTGAATTCTATAACAGAGTTTTAGGTTTATTCAATTTCATACTGTAGCTGGTGGTGATTGGCCTGACTATCATGCTTAATTTTTATCAGTACGTAAAGTATTATTGAGGCAGCAAAAGACCAACACTAAGTTTGTGCTGGATTAACAAAGATTTCCCATCCTTTACAGTGGCCTGTTTTCGGTCATTTCAGTTAATTCTAACATACTGTCCTCACAATTTACAACAATAGATTTACACGATTGTCCTAATAAACTAAGGCATGTGAAGTTTAAATACTGAATTGCCGTAGTCTTTTCTTCGAATCATCTTTGATTTCTTTCAATTCAAACTACCCAAACTATGCATGCTGGAACTGTCATCCAGATTTTAGTCAGCTGCTTTGTAGTTTTCCTTTCATCGCAGAAGCAATACAATACTTTTGTGGTTTTTTGCATGACCCACCTCAAACCAAATATCTTAAAAAACACGTCTGCCTAGTACTATGCAATGCAAAATTAAACAGTCAGTTTCTTCATTGTTAAACCCACACAAATATCACCTATTGCACATATGAAAGCCCTTTCTCTGAAGATTTCTCTGCGTTAAACATACATCCTGCAACAAAACCCAGCTGAAGCAAGCTACTTTGCTTGGGCCATGGACTTTTGGATCAAGGTTCTTGGCGTCGAGCAGAAAAAGTGTCATCCTTATTGAGTAACTTATAGCATGAATTCATAGTGAATTTTTCATTGCTAGTTGCAGTCCATATGCGTCTTGACAGGAGTCCCGTTAAGTTGTTTGACTGTCCAAACTTCAAAAGAAGTTCGTAAGTTCCCAGTTGAAGCAATTCCTTCTTTTTTTTTTGAGAAGGTAAAGTATCCAGTATATTCAAAAAATCATCAGCACAAATTTTGTGCTGGAAGCCAAAATAGGCAATTACAATATGGAAAAGCAAAAATATAGTCCTTGTTCTTCTTACAAGGAACTCAAAACATCTAGGATTGAATCAGGACCCTCTACATATTCTGATTTACACCAAAAACAAAAAAGAAAAATACACTTCATCTTAATCTTTTGTAGAGAGTTGGTTGTATCTTCAAAGCATCTCTGGTTCCTTTCTTTCCAAATTGTCCACCAAATAGTTACTGGGACAATTTTCCATCTGTTTTTGTCTGTGGTAAACTCTATCTCTGTGTTCCAGCATAATAAAAGATCAGAGGTTCTCCCTGGCATTACCCATCTAGCACCTCTGAGATTAATGAACAGATACCATAATTGGCTGGTCACTCTACAATGAAGAAACAGATGGCTGATTGTCTCAGCATCATTCCCACACAAATAACATCTTGAAACAATTGGTATACCCCTCTTCCTTAGATTATCCTGAGTGAGGACAACCTCCCTAATTACCAACCAGGTAAAACATGCCACTTTATAAGGCACTTTTACTTTCCCTATGTGTTTCCAAGGCCATAAACTGAGTTGAGATCCCTCCCGGTTCAAATCTTTGTATGCTGAGCTGACTGAATACATCCCATTACTATGTTTTTGCCATCTGAGTGTATCTTCACCCTCCTGTAGTCCACTACATTGTTCTAGTGTTCTATAAAACTGAATCATTCTAGGCACGTCCCAATCCTGTAGGAATCTTCTAATAGCCATGCTTAATCCTTACTGCGTCTTGGCATTGTAGATGATCATTTGGCCTGAGAATCAGGTAAAAAGTCATGGAACATCATATCTGTATGTCAACATTTTGTGTGCCTTAAAGCCTCAACTATCTCGTAATTGGGTGTATTGGTATAGACATGAAATCATTAATTACTGGAAGTGTTAATTATCTGCTTCTCTAACATATTGTCCTTAACTACAGTATCATGATCGAAAATGTTACAATGCCAAAAAGCACTTGCAGTCCTGCACCAAAAGTCTTTCCACGCCAGAACTCGGTGGTCTTTTTTTAAACTTTTTTTTTCACCTGACAGTATAAATTTCTTCTTATGACGTCAGTGTAAACAAAATGGTAATTAACTTAGCAGATGAAGTGCTCGTGTGGAAGAAAACTAATGCTGAAACAAAAAAAATATTGACAAACTCAACTTAAAAATTTAGGTAGTAAATAGATATTCTTCACCACCATAACTACTAACATTGCAAACAAAATTTGGAACTAAAATGCAAGTTTTGCAACTGACGCCGGGAAGAACAAGTAGTTTCAACTGCATAGCAGCACATGAAGAAAATAAACAAGCTCAGAAACAAAGTAAAATCAATAGCCTCCCTTCAAATCGTTGACCACATCATATGGTATGGGAGAGTAACAGTTTCCAAAGTAGCACCTTCAACCATGAACCCTGGTTAGGTTGCCTCTTTGTGCTGATGACCTCACCCCTAGCCTTGGCCTTTAGCTGATCGTTCTTCTTGATTCTTTCCTTGACTTCTTCGGTGCACCGGGAAAGTTGAACATGCTCTATCCTCACATGGATCCTCTTTCGGAGGATTTTATTATGAACCTGTTTGTTGATTTCGACTCCAACATCACACTTGGTGACATCATGCCCTTGTGAACGGCGCCGTTCACTTTGACATCAACATAGTCACCGACTTTGAAGAACCTGAGGTAGGTGGAAAGAGGGATTACTCCCTTCTTTCTGAAGGCGCGAGAGAATGAATCCCTCGTCCGAGACCTTAATCCATGTCCTGCCGGCATTTTCCTCTGTGGTGTGCTCTGTGTGCGTTTCTGTGAAGAGAAGAAAAATCACACTCTTACCATTATGCTGATAATTAATACCCTTAGATCACTTTGTTCCCTTGTTACAAAGTCTTAGAAGCAAAATTCAGATAACAATGAAAAATCAATACAATTTGTTTTTCTTGCACATGTGCGCACACAGTTCGTTGCAAGTGCTAAAGTTTCCTCAACTTCAAACTATATAATAGTACCACTTACTTTATAAATGAGTTGATATATTACATGTGAAATTATTAGACAAGGATAAAATGAATCTGGAAAAAGAAAACATAAAATCAAGTTTCAGCCTACCATCCTAAGTTTTGACTGGATCGTAGGATCAAATGAGGATCATAGAACTGGGTTGACGTTGCTTGTGAGATCGTCAATATTGTACCGATGGCCTTCACCTAGTCCAAATTATAAAGTTTGATGACACTACCTTAGGCTTGGATGTTTGTCATGTTTTTCCCCCTTCTGGTTCTCTCTGGGCTCTGGAAATAAAAACTTCTGTTGCTTGTTACTGTATTTGTTGAATCATCATAGTAGCTTAGAGACTTGTTTGGAGAAATTTCTGTTGTAAATTCAACTGCCAAAATCTAAGATAAAGATAGTATGATGCAAAATCTTTTAAAATGCTATCGCTTTAATTAAGATTTCATTGTGAATTTTGGTTTTGAAAAACTGATCTTGCTTCAAGCAATGCTTTTAATTGGTGTTGTTGGAAAAAAAAAATTCCAATCTGAACCACACTCACATTATAATTCTTTTGGAAGAAAGTGGATAGATTTGGAATGACATAATGGTGTACCCTAAACCTTTATGTGGTTGTGATGTTCCAAGAATCCTTTAGACTGCAGGTACTAAGTTTGAGTTCTGATAGATATTAGTGATATGACCATAGACATGTGACCAGCTCGTTCATAATGCTTGAATTCCATAACTCTTTGTGTCGTAGTTCTTCTTTTCTGGTTGCTAATTTTGTTTGTGATCCTCATATCCACGAACATCCTAACAATCCGATTTTCCTTTCCTGTTTTTTCGTTTGTGTGGAAGAACCTATTTCTTTCATAGAGCAAAATGATGATTGAAATAATATGCTTTTGTATTTGTTGGTGTTTTAGGTACTGATATTGTGCTTTTTCACGGAAAAAGTGGCAAGATTGTTGGGAGTGTTGACACTAATCAACTCAAAAATAACATGGCTGCTATATCTCCCAATGGGCGTTTTATAGCTGCTGCAGCTTTTACTGCTGATGTCAAGGTGAAGTTAGATGTTGCAATCTTATCATTTGTGAGGCTGAACTGCTTTAAGCTTTTGTCAAGAGTTTACATTTATTGTCAAATTTCAATGTTGTTTAAGTAGTAGGAAAATAATGTTATGAAACTAGTTAGTTGTAAGAGATATTGGAAGATGAGAAACGCAAGTGTCTTTTATCTGTTCAAAATTATTTGAGTGGTTTAGGGGGTGGGAGGTAGATAGGAGAAACAAAGAGTGGAAGCTAATAACCTGTGCTAAATTTTCCCCCTAGCGGTTTCCTGAGACGTACAAAGGTTGACTTCCACAGATACACTCTTTTCAGTTGCCCTCTTGTGTTTTGTGTCAAGCGTTAGGCAGTGTGGCATGTGAGTCGGGCTGTTATGTATGATTTTGTCAATGTGGTTATTGGAAGGCCAGTTATAACAAAGGACTTATGTGGAGCTATCCAAGAAATTAGGACACTGCTCATCAGTTGGTTCTAGTCATCTCAAATGCAGCTGCGACATAGTTTGGATAGAGATGATTAAATGGTGTTAAGAACACCTTTCAGAACCATGTAGACCCACCATCCATCCACGGATGAGGATCCAAATAGTATGGTTTGCCTACGTAAATTGAAGAGAGACAGACAGACAGGCAGAAGAGGGGGGAATCCAAATAATATATTTTCCTATGTAATCTGTGTGAATAGCTGAACACTTTCCAATCCTTCCGGAAAAAGTTGGAGATTGAGATTGTTTAAGTATTATTTTTCACTCTGGGAGGCTGTAGATATTTGTCATTTTGCCAAGGGAGTCAAGTAAATTGGAATAAGCTATGAAAGAAAAGTAGGTTATATAAATTTAGGGTGGGCATTAAATATTCTGATAAAGCTCGCATATCATGTGGTGTGGTTACCTTTTAAGTTTTATGCAATTTATGTCATGTTCGTTTGTCAACTTGGAAATGATTTTTTCATAATTTTCTCTCTCGCTTTTTGGATGTCATCAAAGAAGAGTTCCTGATTGAATTAGGTATCATGTTGACAGGTTTGGGAAATTGTGTATTCAAAAGATGGTGCTGTAAAGGAGGTTTCAAGGGTAATGGAGCTCAAGGGGCATAAGGTACATGATATCAAGTTCTTGCGCCATGAAATCCTATTTACATCTTCTCTTTTTCTATCGTTCTCTAGGGTTAGATCAATGTGATCTGCATTCAGTTGTATCTGATGATGGTTCTAGTGTGAACAAGATGTGAACAGGCTTATTATTGTCCTAATCTGTACTTGGGGGAAAAATATTATTGGAGTAATATTTTAGGGAAAGGAGAAATTTTAGAAAAATCTTAAGGGAGTAACAATTTGAAATATGCTGTTTCAGCAAAGACTTCCCAAGCTTCAAATACTTTGTTGTTGATTATCTCTTTTTCATTGTGTTCATGATTCAGCTAATGGATGAAATCTTGCTCTTATTATAGGTGTACAGTGTTCTCTTGACTGACTCTGTCATTTAGTTTAATGAACTTTTGCTATTGATCTCTTTCTCTTTTGATTTGCTGCTAATTTGTTGCTTGATGTCTAAAATTTTAATGGGTTCTGTGCAGAGTGCAGTGACGTGCCTATGCTTTACCCCGAATTCGGAACAAATAATTACTGCATCGAAGGATGGTAGCATCAGAGTGTGGAATATTAATGGTATGTCTTTCCCTCCCTAGCTCTTATTAGTTACTATACCATTGTTACCTCGTCCAATTATTTTCCTTTGGCACTTGCGTGCAACATTCTTGTTCTGCAGTGCGCTATCATCTTTCCGAGGACCCCAAGACATTAAGGGTGATCCCTATTCCCCTTAAGGATGCAAATGGCACAACTTTACTCTACGATCGTTTGTGTCTATCACCTGATGGAAAGATATTGTCCACCACTCATGGTTCAATGATGCAATGGCTATGTCCGGAGACTGGGAAGGTTTTGGACACAGCTGAAAAGGCACACGATGGTATGCTTTCCAAATTACTTAGCCCCTTTATCAAAAGCTGTCCACCATTGTCATCCCTATGTATGTGTCGAACCTGTCTAGAATTTTTTTCTGTATTCTGAAGCAGCTATGACTGTGTGCTTCTTGGCAAAAATTCAATTTCTTGATTTTTCCCTAATAGACAACAAGAACCTGAATGGAATACATCCTTCAAAAATATTTTCCAAGTTCGATCCTCTCAGCCCCGCCCCATCAAAAGAAGAACGAAGTTTTATTTAGTGTTAGCTAGAATCTCAGTGACACACAATGCGAGTTCTTAGCATTCATTCTGTTGAGCTCTATATTGTTATGATAGCTCGTCTTTTCCTCATAAGTGTTTCTTTTTTCGGTTTGCGCATTTGCGCAGGAGTCATGAATACTTTAAGTTAGATATCATTTTTCCTAGGGTGCTGTGAGGCACTGCGTTGGAACCATTGGACTTACTATTCTTGTTTATTTCATGAGTTTTGTCTTAGAACATCTGCTTCATTTACGTAGTCTCTTGCGTTGTAGGATTTCTGTATGAAGCAATATGATGTCTTAGGTCAATAGGAGATGAGAGGGGATGTCTTAGGTTAATAGGTGATGAGGGGAAAGTTGAAGTATCGTGGTGAATTGAAGTGGCTGGTAGCCCAGTCATACCAGCCATGCTATCGACTTGTGTTAACTTGATTTGAAAATTTATATTCTTCCACTTATTGTGCAGGTGATATCACTGACATGGCATGGTCGCCTTCTCCCATTCCAATGGGTAAATCTCTCCCCAACCCCAAGTGAAGTTCTATATTATGTGATCTTACCTTATCAAATAGAAGTTTTATATTATGTGATTCTCTGTTTTCCATTTCTTGTCTACATTAGGTCATAAAGTGGATCAGCTTTTTTCCTTTTTTTCCTTTTATCTTTGCAAGTCTTTTGTCACTAAGTAAAACAATAGCTGGTCTCTTTTGGCTAGAATCTTGCTTTCAATGTGTCTTCCTCTTAGTTTTAATGGCTTCTCTGAATCTTCCATTTTCTTCCTATATATTCTAGCAAGTACCGATATGAGACTCAGTTTCTGTGTTATAGTTATGATGAAAAACTGGAGCGAAAATGAAAAATTGAAAAGTAGGACCAACTCCTAGTGGTTTAGGAGGAAGCTAAATTGTAGTTTAATAACCATCAGGGCTTTAAATTCATAGGGTGCATTTAGCTAGGGTTTCTGATGGCAGCAATTGCTTTCCACAAATGGTCTAACAATATTAAGTTGTTTCTGTTTTTGTTGTTGTAACTATGTATCAGGTGACAAGCAAGTTCTGGTGTTGGCCACAGCCAGTGTCGATAAGAAAGTAAAGTTGTGGGCGGCTCCATCCCTAAATGCATCGTGAACAAGCGACAGAGCCTTTTCCCCGTGAATGACAAGCTTTTGATGTCTCACCCAGTTTTTGAACTAATAGATTATTATAAGGGGACTGACGATAATATATACAGTACAAGTCAGAAGAGCAGAATACAGCCTAAGTTAGAGGATGGGTGCTTACATCTTTTGAGAGTTTTTGTTATGCAAAGAGAGAGATAACCAGCATGTATTAAGCTAGAGGAAAATTTTGAGATAAAATTTGATGTTATATACATGAGTTGTAGTTTTCTCTAGGCATTGGTGATCTATTTTAGAGCTTAGAATTGGAAAAGGTACGTTTTCAATTTTAAATCAGAAGACGAAAAAATATTCTTAAGTTCCATTTTTCTTGCAAGTATACTTGTTTCTTCAGGTTTGTCATCAACTTATTTAAAACAGAGGTTCCTTTTTCCGTTCAGTCAAAAACAAATAAGTGGATAGGAAGTTCTGTTTTCCTTGCTGTATTACATAGAAAGTGATTTGCTTGTTCATTTTCAAATTTGAAAAAAAGAGATTCTTTTTCGTTTTCAGTCCAAAGCAAAAAATGAAAAATGGGAAGTTCCATTTTGTTTGCCGTAGAAAGCACAAACTGGTGTGCGATTCCTACACATTCGCCTATAAAGTATGGGAAAAAAGATACTAGGAGTATGGGGCACCTTTTGGTACAACTTAATGAAAAAGGTAATAAGCCCATTAGCCCACCAATCCACCATATATTTTTGGTAAAAACACATCTATGCTACTATTTGATGAGTAAAAATCCCCCCAAGAAGTAAAGATTTGGGGAGCTCACAGAGGTACAAAATTGTTTCTCCGAACCTCTGTCGTACATGCAACTCTCTGCTACGTTAATTTTTCTTTAATTGATTTAGGACGTGGGGTGCAAATACTATTAAGTCTCAGAGTCTTCTTTCTGTATTTCTGGATTGTGTTTATGCATTTGATCAAAGGCCTATACTTTTTGATAGTTTAGGCCATATTTTTCGGCTGTCATTAAAGGCCTTAATATAATTCATGAAATATTTCATACCAAAACATAATTATAGAAAATTTTACAAAATCGATCTACCGTGAAAATTTTAACATAATATCAAATATTTATCATCCATAAAATATTTTATATCAAAATGTTGTATAAATAAATTTATCAATCCGATTTAACCTGCGATTCTAACATAGATGTTAAAAATCTTTTATATATATCAATCCGATTTAACCTGCGATTCTAACATAGATGTTAAAAATCTTATATATATATATATATATATATATATATATATATATATATATATATATCCAACTATACTATATTTTAATAAGTGATTGAAGTTTATTCCCTAGCAAAACTCATAACACAATGAGCAAAGGGTCAAGTTTGTTGGAATTTTCCAATGCACAAAAATAATCCTTACGAATTATTTCGTGAAATATCAATATGCGACCTAGGAAATTCATTAAAAATAGATATTTATAGGAGATTTCTTGAGCAGTACGAGCCTCATTTATTTATAATGCAAGAGTCTTGAATTATTGATCCCATGGAAAATTGGCATTCAACACAGCCGCTTGGTATTACTATGGGACCACAAGAACAACGCATATATATATCATCATCATCAAAATTAGGGTTATTGGGCTGAAAGTATAACTTTCAATGTTCATAGAGTTTAGGGGGAAGTGCACAGATAGTCATTGATGAGATGTCTTTACCTTTTAACCACTGTTTTAAATGTATTTACTCTTTAGTCGGTGCTTAATAAATTTTTACCCGCCGGACAAAAATACCCCTGTGCTAGACATAGGTATTATGTAAATATTAAGGACATAGTGTCCTTAACTTCATGAATGTTGTGTAAATATTTGGGACAAAGTGTCCTGTATTTGCACGACGTGAAAGATTGAGATATACACCATTTGTTTTTTAAAAAAAAAGAGAAAAGAGAAAAACCTCTCATTCTCTTAAAGATTGAAATTGGAAGACTAAAAGGCTAAATATGACTTCAAGACGATACTTGCATTTATCACTTTAGTTTTAGCATATATTTTATTCATATTTTACAAGAAAACAGCAAAAGAGTTTTTTCTCTTCTTCTTCCAAGTAGCAAAAAGGTTCAACTGAACCAGAATTTGCGATTGTGCACTGTTGAGCTACGAATGATTATTAATAACACTATTTACCAGAACGAGACAAGAAGCCCGTCTAGCTCAGTTGGTAGAGCGCAAGGTTCTTAACCTTGTGATAGTGGGTTTGAGCCCCACGGTGTGCATTTTATTGATTATTTTTTTTTGGTCAACTACTCCAACTTATTCCAGCAAATTATTAACCTTTCGACAAGTTGATCAACGAGAATATCTGTTAAAAAGTCAAGAGGCAATATGGTTTTATCTCTAAATTTGCTAGATTACAATTACAATTTTTTCTCAATCACAATTCTTTCACTGATGTGATTGACGGAAAAAAGAATTAGTCATTAAAGACACCAATTAGTTATTAAATTTGCATCCGCTACTTTTATTTGGGCAAAAACTTATCCGTATCGGTTGTTATATTTATAAGACTTTCTTCCTCCCTTCCCTCCATCCCTAGCTACTATAAGGACGGAACCATGCTTTTTTCCTTTGGTATTTCAAATTATAGTAGTTTAGTTTGTGAACGTTCATTTTGTTGGTGAGGATTTAATTTCTCACCTTATATATTTGACGTGTCGTAGCAGGTTACTTATCTCTATTTTTATGTTATTAATCTCTCTTATTATGGATAATATGTATCTTTAAATAACTTGATAATGTAAAATTTTGTTTACCTTGACGCTATATAGAAGTTGTATTGACATGTAATAGGTAAGTTTGGATCTAAGTTGCATGAAAACTATTCTTTGAATAAATTATAGTAGTTTAGTTTGTTAGCTATCTGAATGTTCATTTTGTTGGTGAGGGTTTAATTTCTTATCTTGTTATCCTCTTCTCTATTTTCCGAATTCCTCCCTCCTTATGTATAGCAAAAGAAGAAAAAGTTATGTATTTGACGTGTCGTAGTAGGTTACTTATCTTCATTTTTATGTTATTAATCTCTCTTATTATGGACAATATGTATCTTTAAATAACTTGAAAATATAAAATTTTGCTTACCTTGACACTATATATGTTCACCGGAAAAATCGGATAACGTTAGATTTGTGTATGGTTCTAAGGATGTGCGATACAATTCGATATAAATCGTGTAGAGAAATAGAGATATGTATATTCTTGACTATGAGAATGCAAATAGTGAGCAACAAAAATGAATAAGGTAAAGTAAAACAAGCACAAAGGGATATCTTTCAATATGAGAAGTGATTTTTGGTTATAGTGTATTTTTTTTTCTTGCCCCCATAGCTTACAAGGATCCCCCCTTTTATAGTAGAGGGTCATTACAAAAAATAATAAAATAAAGCATATAGTGGAAGGCCCATAATAACTTGTCTCTTCCTCGATTCCCGCCAAGATTCTCTCTCTTGGTGCGGTTGCAACGGTTCTTGTCTGTGAGCTCGATACTGGCTCGAACTCGTTACTGGGTCGGGCCCTTCGGTCTTGGCTCGAGTTCGACCTTCGAGATGGGCATCGCGCATTTTCGACCTCGAAGCAGTGTCTTGCGGGTCGATTCGGTCACGGGATCGATAAGGTTACTGAACCGACTCCTCGAGCGACCTTCGGACTCGAGGCTCGTTAGTACTGACTTCGGAGCTCACTCCTAAAATCTCATTCCGATCTTTTAACACTTGAACTCGATCGAACGTAGGAAGGCTGAAATCTATTTCGACCGTATACAAATAGTCCCCTCGTTTCTCACGAAGGATGCGGTGAGAATCGATGTGATTTTTGGCAGTTCGATCGGGTTATTTCGGGAAGAAGTCAATCAAATCAAAGTTGAATGTAATCGGTGGAAGGAGACTATTGATCACCTGGCTGCGGAAAAAGAGACCATTTTGACCAATTTATTGTCGGCCAATGTTCAGCTTCAAAACGTTAAGCAAAAGGGTTCGGCTCAAGCTAAGAGGATCGAGGAGCTTGAAGCTCAGCTTGCTGAAGCCAAGGCGGAGGTTGAGTCGTCGAAAATCTTGGCGGATAAGTCCATTTCCGTGTATCGGGCTAATGCCGAGGCTGCTCAGATGGAGGCACGAGAGGCGGCGGACACTGCCGACACCCGAGCATATTGGATTGCCGAACTTGCTAAATGTAGGTCTCGGAGGGAGACCCTCAAGGAGATACATGCTCGGGGTTTTGACCTTACTGAAGAAATAAAAAAGGCTAAAGAGCTCGAAGTTGAAGCTGAAGCCTTGGCTTCTGATGGTGATGATGATGATGATGACTGTAGCAAGAGCGGATCCAAGGATGGAGGAGAGCCTGACAGAGAAGCAAACGCCCCTGAGGATGATCAGGAAGCTTAGTTCATAATTTTTTTTTTTTTTTAATCAATCATGAATTTTTTTTTGTATATAGACAATTTTGGCCGATTTGTGAAGACTTTATGCGTGCCTTACAAATGTTTTCACAAGGATCGTAACAATTCAATCAAATTTGGACTTCGTAGTCTCTATGATTGATTGTTCGAAGTGATGTAGCCCCTGGGCTTACTAGTTGAGTTAATAATTCGAACTTGAAGAAATATAATCTGTGGGCGTAATTGTCGAGTGAAGTAATGTAGCCCGTGGGCGTGATGGTCGAGTGAGTGCTTGCTCGAACTCGAAATAAAAGTAGCCTGTAGGCTTTAGTCGTCGAGTGAATGATTCGAACTCGATGCAATGCAGCCCGTTAGGCGTAATGATCGAAGTATCTCGTAGGCTTAGTGGTCGAGTAAATGCTTGCTCGAACTCGAAATAAAAAGTAGCCCGTAGGCTTATCAGTCGAGTGAATGACTCGATCTCGATGCAATGTAGCCCGTAGGCATAATGGTCGAAGTAGCCCGTAGGCTTAGTGGTCGAGTGAATGCGTGCTCGAACTCGAAATAAAAAGTAGCTCGTAGGCTTATCAGTCGAGTGAATGACTCGAACTCGATGCAATGTAGCCCGTAGGCTTAGTGGTCGAGTGAGTGCTTGCTTGAACTCGAAAAATAAAAGGTAGCCCGTAGGCTTATTAGTCGAGTGAATGACTCGAACTCGATGCAATGTAGCCCGTAGGCTTAGTGGTCGAGTGAGTGCTTGCTCGAACTCGTAAAATAGAAGGTAGCCCGTAGGCTTATTAGTCGAGTGAATGATTCGAACTCGATGCAATGTAGCCCGTAGGCATAACATTCGAAGTTGCCCATAGGCTTAGTGGTCGAGTGAGTGCTTGCTCGAACTCGAAATAAAAAGTAGCCCGTAGGCT